TAGGGCATCTGCGAAGGATGTTGTCCAGGATGCTTGGTTCCGGGAGGAGTAACATGTCTCAGGCATTATTAATCTAGTAGCACGTCGCTGTTGCGACCAGACTCAATACGTTCATACCATCGTATGTAGTCGCAAATACCTAGGTAGTTAATGTAATTACATTAATGCGCACCTAACCTTAATTATAAAATTAAGTAAACCTCTAAATACCTTAATATATTAATATAATTTTAGTTTTATTTACTAAAGTACTAGTTTAAAAGTAAATTTTTTTCTTTTATAATACTACTTTTTTATATAAATAGTAAATATTATAAAGCTATAAAATTAACTTATAATACTTTAACTACTTTAACTATTTTAAACTAGTTATATACTAAACTTAGTAAGTAGTATATTTACTAAGCTTACTTTTTACTACTATACTTTTTTTAAAAACTTTTTTTTAAAAATTATTAGCTACTATTTAGTAGTAAGCTAAAAAACTAGTACTTTAATTATAGCTAATTTTTATATATAAAAGTAAAAATTACTTAGTACTATAATATTAGAAACTTTACTTTAAAGTATAAACTAATTATATACTATTATTAAGCTACTTAAATATATATAAAATTATTTTTACTACTTTTATATTTTAATAAAGTAGCTATACTACTATTATTTTTAGTTTTTTAAGTATTACTTTAAAAAAAGTAAGTAAGTAGTAAAAGATCTTATACTATAGTAAAGAATTAAAATATAAATATAAGAATAATACTATAAAAGTATTAAAAAAGCTAAAAAGTTAATAAATAATAAGCTAAGTATTTATTATTATAATAATTTAGTTATTTATTATTATAATAAAAAGTTTAAAAAAAAGTAGTAAAAAATATATATTTTATAAACTTACTAGTTAAGCTTTAACTCTAGTTTTATATAAGCTATTATAAAACTTATTATACTAATTTATTATAATAACTTATTATATATTTATTATAAAGTTATTTTTAGCTACTATAAGTATATATAAAGATAACTACTTTAAATAAATAGCTTAGTAAACTACTATTACTAAATTTTTTTTTTTTAATATATATAACTAAAGTACTTTTATAAAAAAACCTTTTAGGCTTAAGCGTAAAAGATAGAGAAACCTCTAGACATAGTTATTGCAAGACTGTGCGTGATGTTATGACGCGTGCTTAGTGTCACCGTGCGCCTCGTCTTCGGGTTAGCTTCGGGCGATCATCTCGGAGTTCTCGCCCCTGCGCCCCTCGACTCCATTTCCCTCTCATTATATCAAAACCGAAACGGCCATCGCACACTCCTTCGCCCTTCAGATGAATATCGTTTCTTCTGCGCCTCAGTTCTCGTCGCATGCGACATGTGTGGACACAAGCCCACGAGAACACGTCTTCATTGGGACTTTCGAGTCCCGAGTCCGCCGCGCCAGCAGAGTCCGAAGACTTCACTTATCCCGAATTAAAGGCTTTACGAATCTATGAGGACCTCAACTCGAGATACGACGAGGCCTACAATTTGTTTGAAACCAACACCCGACAGCTGTCGACCGATGTTGCGACCGCAGCAATTAGGCTTGTTGGACCATCGTCAACGCAGTTATCATACGAACAGCGAGCATTGACTGAGGCTATCACATTGCGATACCCCTGTTAAAGCTCGCATATACTGTCTTTTAAACAATGAGGTCACTTAACGTAGGGTCTTGCAGTCAGGAAATCACACAAAGAACCACGCGTATATCGTCTCGTCCCTCGGTCGTCAAGGGACGTCGATAACAAAAGCTTGAACAAAGCACATCGCGCCATCAAGAATCCTACACTTCATTGTTTTACATCATTTACAATGAACAAGGCCTCGCTTTATATCTCGGCAGTAACAAGCCCATTTCCTCAATCGAAGCTCAGCGTGAGGTATATCGAGAATACCTCTTGAGATGAGATACCGACATCGACCCATTTTGGTTCGGATGCCAGAGTAACAAAGACGCTTCTTCGTACGAGAGGCCTCTTGTACTCTTAACCATAGTTGAGCAAATCCCCGTTCTGGTACTCACCACCCTGCTCATGCCTGCCACGACCACCATCGTCCTCGTAGTGTTCACGCTCGGGACGGCGGTCGTGGTCGTGGTCGTGATCGCGCCGCTCAGGATGCTGGTACTCGCCACCCTGTTCAGCTCTGTCACGGCCACGATCGTCCTCGTAGTTCTCACGCTCGGGGTTGCGGTTGTCGTCGTGATCGCGCGACGCATGGTTATGGATAACGTGAGGCTGATATCTTCCATCTTGCATCACGTTGTTTACTGGCATGAAGACAGGACGGTTGATATTGTCGCCGAGACGCGTGTCGGCAGGGCGGTCGTGGCCTTCTTGCTGATGAATTGGTTGATCAGGTTGCGCTGATCTACCAGGGTAACCTCGAGCATAGTCTCCGTTTCGGTCGGCTTGACGTTCACGAGGTAGTGGACTTCGCGACCGACTACGTTGCCTTCCAGGACCACGTGCGGGACGATCGCGAGGCCTACCGCCACCTGTGCCACGAGGACCATTAGGGATCTGGGGAGATGAAGGTGCATCTTGGAAGGCAAACACTTCTCCTCCCGGTGCTGGGACGTACGGGGGAGGTGCTGGCATTCGGTACGCTGCAGGGAACAGCTTTGGCTTGATAGAGCCGGTTGGTTGCTGCCGCGGATAGTGGTTATCCTCCAAACCTCGCCGTACTGCACCCTCGTCGACTCCTAATGGGGTTGGAGGCATGTACTTAAGCTCGGCAAGCCCAACAAAAGCGGCATTGCGAACCCACTTAACCATACCAAGACTGTCGTCTGTGAGATATCCTGCGAATATGAAACCCTGAGTGGGTATGACTTCGTTGGCAACAAGTACATTGAAGTTGCAATGTGTCTTCAACTCCTGGACTGACCAGCCTTCATCTTCCTTTGGATGCATGAGGATATTGTCATGGGGGCTATGTTTCCTTGAAACATCTTCGGGCCAACCTCGACGGTCAAATGGAAGTAGTCGCATGAATTGCCAACGGTTCCCAGGGTGTATCTTGTCCAGATCATGGCCTTGAGAAGTCCGGCCCCAAGTAACTAGGACTACGTTGGGGAAGACTTTCTGGACTAAGCAAATCCTCCATCCTGAGAGAGCTTTGCCATGCGCAGTCAAACCACATTTGTCCCCCAAGACCTGTTTTGGGTCCACCGCGTACTCGGAAGTACGAAACCAAAAGAGCATGCCTTCCCAAAACACCTCGTCGAGACGTTGCCGGATGGGTTGTGGTACATGAGTGGATTGCTTAGACATGATCATCGTTGTCAAGCCATCATATTGCGGGAACAAGAGCCCGGCAAGGTCAGGCATTTCGAGACCAAGATTTCCGCGCTTTATGCAACCGCCATTGGAAGCCCACCAAGAAGCGAAGTCTTGAATAAGAGCCAGCATCTGCCTCTGACCAAGTGGTGTACTGAAGTCAACGATGAGGTTTGGCCTTTGTTGTGCGCTTCCATACGCTGCTACGAACTGCATGACTTTGCTTGTCTTGAATGTGTGCTCGGTATCCGCTTGTGGAATGGTAATAGGTGCATCGGTGGAGCCTAGGGGTGGCTCTCGCACGGCGACATCTTGGTATGATTGACCCTCACGACTACTACCACTAGGGCTGAGCTCGACTGGAGAGGGGTGTTCAGACGGGGGGCGAACGGTAGTCGCATGTACGTCTCCTCGGTTATTGGCAATCGGTCCTCGCGCTTCATGAAGCCGTGCGGTCTGGTCTTGGGGAATGGCGTCCAAGCTACGCTCTTCCTGACGAGATAGTGGAGGAGCTGTGTTGGTACCCGGACGAGACTGCAGCTCGGGTGGCGACGGGCTGGTTGTTGGCCTACCATGAGGGCGTGTAGGTTGCTCTTGGGAGCTAGCAGCAGGTTCGCGCTCTTCCCCGGGGAACTCCGAAGGTGTATGATACCCGTCTTGGCTATCAACACTCGCTTCGCGTGTTTCCCGTTGTGGTTTTGGAGAAGGGGCGTGAGTCGGCTGCGGTGCGCGCTCGATCTCTTGTTCAGGGTGCGAGGGAGGGCTGGCCGGGCTCAGTGTCGAGCTTTCCGAATCGGCGACGACCACTTCCTCGAGTTCATCGAAGGTCTGACCAGAGTTCTCTACATAGCCTCTAGGGCGTGTTACTCGTGATGCCTGCGGACTGTCTTTGTCTGTATTGATTAGGATAGTTCTGGAAGTTGTAGACGGGAAAGGCTTACCTTCATGACCACGACGACCCGACATGTTTAGCGGATGCGCAAGTGTTAAAGGGTTTTGGTAGGTGTAATGATCGAAACAGTTGTGATATTTCGGTTGAGGGTTCGGTTGAGAATTAGTTTGTGTAGAAAGGTCTATCTGGGAAGGATCAGTGAAATGCGCACTTGATGTAGTCGATTTCAGCGCAGTGATTCGCAACAGTAGCGCAAGCTCTACCCCCTCCGGGTGGATCAATTCATCGTAATCAGAAAGTTCCTGACGTAGTGCACTGCTGCATTGGGGCGATCCGTGCAACGAGTGAGTGAATGTAGCATGGTCATCTAGTAGTTGTGTCTGCCACTGCCACTGCCCCTTGGATGGAACCAACCTAGTGGGCATCCTTAATTGATACAGAACTGGCTGCTTTTGAAAACTTGGTGTATATCTAGATCCCACTTCCGAGTTCTGGGATGTACGTGGACGATGGTGTCTTGCAATAGCCAATCAATTCGCGCAGTCGTACACTGTGAAGTCTTCCATAATGAATATATTGAAAGTGGCGTGGCTGCTAGTACTAAGCAAACCTTTGTTGTCAACTTACAAAGCAGCGTTGCGGTCAAAGAAATCTGCTAGCTTTGTCATGATGCTTAAAAGCAGGGAAGCTTCGCGCATCTTGTCGCAACGAATCCTATCTTCCAAGACGATAGCCATGTACGACGATGCAGAATTGGATAGGACTTTCTCCGAAAGAGCTTGTCAGATATGGGTGCATCCAACGGCACACAGCTCGGGATCGAGTACCTTGCGGCCGCGGCTCAAGAGAGTACGAGATGGTAGACGCGAGGCTTTGGCATTGGTTCTAACAGAAGAGCTTGAGAAGAAGATTCAGACCGCTCTTGCATTGGGTCGTGGTCATATTCATGCAGTACAGGACGTCAAAAGATGGAAGCACGAAACGCGCTTGAAGCAAGCCGATAACAAAGGTTCTTTGGAGTCGTTCACTCATCGCTTTAACGCCAAGTGCGCAGAAATACAGCCAAACAAAGAGCCGACCGAGGTCCAAAAGAAGACTTTGAAGATGTTAGCCCAAAGTGTCGAGCGAACGAAAGCCAACCAAGGTATCATGGATGAAACGATAGCGAACTACGATAGGGATCTTGCGCGCGGTTTGAACAGGTGGCGGAAGGCTTGGGCCGACATAGACAAGATTCTAGCCAAAGTGTGGACAGATGCAGGGCGGCTAGTACCCGACGACGATTCAGATGCGGACAACGAAAGGCCACCTAGAGCGACTGAGTCAAAGAACAAAGCCGGAAGAAACGGAGGCCGGGCGAATATACCTGGCGACAACTTGCCGTTAGCTGCACCGGAGGTAGAGCCCGCTCGACAAAGGCAGGCGGGAAGACGAAGAAGCGATATCTCGGAATGGCAAAACAGTGTCGAAGCCCATAGTCCCACAAACCTTGATAAGGGAAAAGATGCAAGTACACATCGCAGGCAGGCTATTGGACGCACCAACAACGCTGGAGATCGTCCGACATCTTCTCGCCCCTCCCGACACTCTAGCGAGCATCGGCGAAGATCGTATCGGGCATATTCGTCGCGCCCGCCGCCGCCCCCACCACCACGTCATGTCAACGATGTCTCCATACCCAGCTACGCGCGACAGCAAGCGCATGATCATGACGAGCATCGAGAACGACGAGACCGAAGTCGGTCAAGCAGTCCAGGACGAGAACGAGGTACATCTAGAGACGCACCAGACTATCGGGAACGTAATCACCGCGAAAGTCAGCAGCGTAGGACTCGCGATGAAAGCGCACGGAGGATAAGAAGTCGAAACCCTCCTGAAGACGACAGGGGCGGATGTGGTAGATGGGGTGCTTTGTGAGGATGGTAGTGTTAGTTATGAGTAGAACATCGTGTAGTAGGCCAGTATCGTTGCTTGGTTAGTTTTATGAAAGGTCAATCACACTGTGATCTAGAGAAGCTTTTCGTTGACGAGACGAGACCTGCGAATATGAATCAAGTGATGGTACTATTGATGAATTCAAGCTGTCATGCATCAGATCATGACTTGTTAGGCGACAGCTCGCCCAGACAACACTGGCGGGACACTATATAGAAAAGAAATCCGAAGACTGGCTATTCCATGACGCACGGTGAACAAATTCGTTCCTGCTTTACGAAGCAACACAATGATTCACCTTCAAAGACCACTCCGTGGCTACGAGCAGAGCTAATCATCCCCATCGGTACGTTTCCTCTCTGGACTGGATCACGGGCTCGATACCGGGTGGTTGAGATTGAGGGACTGGTTCTGCTCTGTCACATTGAGGATGGCATTGGTCATTACTCCATCGTGCTGATGTAAAGTTTGTGCCATGGCAGGTTGGGTGGTAATCGAAGCGATCTTGGGCATGGTGTTAGCATGAGAAGAGGCTTCTCGGTGGCCGATGGCTGGTGTACCGGCCTTTTCGCCCCGAAAACTTTGACCTGCCCTCACCGCACCCGTAGCATGCGCTAATGCACGCTGTTGCGGGTGCGATACTGGGCTGAAAAGAGTGGGAGGCATGACGTTAGACGGACTGACCTTGCTGACGGATCGGCTTCGAGGGTGATCAACCGAAGACCGGGCTTGTTCCTCATTGGAACTTGTCGTTGAGTACGCAGAGCTGAACGCGCGCGACTTTTGGAGAAGATTTGCGGAATCTCTCACGGGATCTTTCGCGGTAGTCCCTTTGGAAGGATGGATGCGCAGTTGATGGAACAACCTGTTACCTGTTCGCTCAGCCTTTGGAAGAGGCATGGCACTCCGAGGATAGGGGTCTACCAGTTCAAGGCCGCGCTTCACCGCAGCCTCATCCATCCCTTTTGGGTGTGCGACAAGTTTTCCATCTGGGCTGTTTGCATTGGCTTTCAGTCCAAGGAAAAGGTCGCGACTGTCCTTGTCAAGTTTTCCCACAGGTAACATCTCCTCGCTAGGGTAGTGTGGTACTACATCTATTGCAGAGAAGTGTGTGTGTGCACCGATAGCCTTGTCATCGTAATCCGGGTCGGAAATATATGTCAGTGACGCGTGAAGTGAATCGTTATGCTTAGCTCGCATGCTTCGTGGCAGTCTTCCGTGTTTATAACTGTGAAGATGTAAGTACATCCAGATGTCGTCTTTGTCTAGACGCGACAGCCCCTTTCCGCCACTAAGTCGGCAGACCGTCGTCCAAATACAACGTGGAGTCACTTTTGTGACAATGTGCAGACGCCAGGCAGCACAAACTAATCCTTGTGGGCTTGGGGCGGCCTTTATACCCGGCTTCAGGTTTTGGTCGGCTGCGAACTCTGTCGAGCGATCCCAAAACATATCTCCGATTGCGAAGTGATGGGTATAATCGAGTTCCAACCGCTTCGGAATGCTGCTGGCATAGGGCGACGCGATGATAGTAAATATACCTTCATACTCGAGCGAGGGATCTACTAGAGCTGCAAGCCCAACGATCTCAACACCCAGGACTCCTATGTCGCGGACCTCAGTCACGCAAGGAACAAGCATACCAAGCACGTCTCGTAATTGACTCAGTACGGCCTTACGTTCAAGGTCACTGATTGCCGAAGATGTATCTTCCATGGATGCAACAATCTCATCAGTGACCGCTGCAACGTCCGCCATGATCCGGAAGATATCCGGGGTCTGTCCGCCGGAGTGTGCTAAAGGTGGTGTGCGTAGGCCATCCGATGTTGATGGGCTTTGTGGCGTGTTGTTGGTTTTGACGCGGACTCGTTTCTCGTCTTCGTCAGGTTCGTGTTCGTGAGGCCGTTTCGTGGAAGTTAATTGAAGGCCTGGCTGAATCTTCCTGACGGTCGACTTTGGCTGGTTGTTGCCAGTGCTGTCATTCGACTCGTGGTAAGTAGCTTCGCTATGCTTCAGCTCTTCAATAACGAATACATCAGTTGTGATCTCGGCATCATCACCCGAATTGTCAGCCTATGTTGTGTCAGTCGCTTTTGATGCGTGTGCTGGGAGATGTATATGCAGTGCAGAGATTGAAACAGTCAATCGGGTGACTAGAACTTTGTACGTACCGAAGACTCATGCCCAGATGTTTGCATACTAAGGCGGGTGTGCGGTATCCACTGTGTTGAATATTGGTGACCAGAAGATAGTGTCTCCTTCGTATCCGTATTTCTTGTTAGACGTTGGTTGGGTGGTGGTGTTTTGCCAGCGTTGGCTGTGTAGTTAGGCAGAGTACAGAGTCATTTAAAAGACCCGAGTAGAACTTCTTTCGTAGTAGAGTGGAGCGCAAACTGGGTGTGGCGCACGAGCACCCGTGCCCTGTAATGAATTCGAGCGTTCAGCGCACGTGACCAGAGTCAACGGTGCTCGAGACTGTAGTGAAAGTCGTACCATACTTCACGTACTGCAGGTTGCGCTGTTTTGACAACCATGGGTAATGATTGGATGTAGCTCGTCCAAGGTAAGTAGTTCCCATACCAGGGGCATATTCATAACGGAAATGGTCGCCGAGGCTACATCAGACTTTTGTTTGCGTGTTTCAGCGGGAGCTACCCGAGGCACCCGCATCCAATATTGTATGGAACCAAGATCGAGGCTGAATAGCTCCCATGAAAGCATGCTTTGTCTTGTTCGTAGTCCTTTGTTCGCTTGTCTGAACTCTTGTTGCCGTATATAAAAGACCGTCCGTTCCGTTCTTTCATCGACGAACTTTATCTTAATTGACAGGAAGAAGAAATCTCACCATCATCTCTACGGCCAGAACCAGTGAAGATGCCTTACCATGCAGGACATCCGCCCACGAAAGAAGAAGCTATCGTCGCCCGTTGGGCGGCCCCAACCGCGGCCCGTAACTACACGCGAAAAAGTCCGAAGCTGACAGAGATCCAAGAAGGTGATGATAGCACCCTTGCTTTGACACTCTGTCGTGATCTGGCAATGAGGTTTCAACGAGCGCTTTCCTTGGGCCGGCAGCACAGATTGTCTACTCAATTCACTAAAGCTAAGATGAAGGAGCTCAAGACAGAAAGACTTGACAACGCAGGTCTGGTCGAAACACTTGAGTTTGAGCTGCAGCTCAAAAAGAGGGAGCTTGAGCAAGCTCTTGTGCCAAGCGACCGGCAGAGGGAAGAGCTTAGAATCTTGGCCAAAGACTTCCATCGCATGCGCAACAATAAGGACGTGATTGAGAGAAATATCGTCATTCTAGACGAAGGTGACAAGAAGGAGATAGAGAGATGGAGAGATGCGTGGTTTGAAGTGGATAAGCTGCTAGATAACGTATGGATGGAAGCTGGTATATTGAAGCGATATGAAAGCACCGGCGAGAATCGACCTGGAAGACCGGCGGCCACTTTTGACAATCGAATCAATGATGAACAGGGCCAGACTCACGGCGATGGGACGAATGGCAGAAGCCGCGGAGAACAAAGGGATCGATCCCGTTTCAGACGCAGAGAATCGACGGAAGCCGCGACACTTCGAAGAGAAAGACGCGCGGACCGGACGGGAGTGATGTACTACAGCGATCGGTCGGACGAGCAAGATGACAGTTCCGATCAAGTCGAAGAAAATCGCCAAAGATGCAGCCGCACTGTGGAGAGGAGAAGAGAGCAACGAGTTACTAGGCAAGAGCATGAAGGTGGAAGAAGCAGCAGTCCACGCCTACGCTCGCGAGAAGCTGTAGATCGACGAGGGGAGACCGGGCAAAGAACGAGGGATGCTCCGAGGCTGAGAAGTCGGAGTCGGAGTCGGAGTCGATCACCCTCCTTGGATCAGAATCGAGAGAGACGAGAACGTGGTCGAAGAGATTCTCGTGATGGCCTAGAGAGGGGAGAGTATCGTGACCGCGACGGCGTGGTCCGACGCTACCCCCGGTGAACGCAGGCGTCCCTCAGGGGATCACCGTAGATTGGCCATCCAACCCTCGTCAGTCGCCGCCTGAGAGGCGAACGCAACCGGAAACTGCGCTCAAGCCACGGACTGGGTGACAGAGATTGGCTTCGTCTTATAGACGATAGCAATCAACGCCAGCAGAGCTGTACGCAAGCGGAGGCGAGAGGATAGCCCCCAAACACGAGGGTGGGAAGTGGTGCGTAGCAAATGCATCATGGACTACGCAAACTGTCGAGCGCGGCAGAAGCTCATCGCCATGTATCCACCGGATGCACTTCCAAGGTATGCTACTATCAGGTGTGGTGCGGTACGTAGGTCGAAACCGAGCGGTGGGGTTCTACGAGAAGCGAAGTTGGTGACAGGATGGCCCAAGTTCATCATAAAGCGGTGTGCGACTTGAGTGGACTATCGGACGAGGATTCGACTATCATGCTGGTAGGAGATAGCGAGAGCTCCTGGGAGAGATCAGCACAAGTAAAACGACACCCCCATTCAGAGCTCTACTGAGGGCAGATAGCAGTCAAAGTAACATGAATTGAAATGAACGAAGAGCTTACGTCTTAGTCCAAGGCTCTGCCCAGGTGGCTCAACATGACACCGAACTCCAGGAGTCTTTCGATGCACGCGAGCCTCTGTGCTGGGCGCGCAAACTTTCGTCTCCTTATGGCGATCATAATGTACAGAAGGAAGTCATTGCATCTGATTAGAGACACGACAAACCGGTTGTGAATGGAAAGTGGATAAGTGCAGTGACAATGCCAGTGGTGAAAGAACCTTGGAATGCTGGATTCTCGCTCACGCGTGACTTTCGCGTCATGGCCCGTGCACTGACGTCACCAACGGCCCTTCTCTGCCCGTTCTCCATACACAAGCAACTTAGCATTCACTCACAAGAACATTAGGTGTTATCTTCTATTAGCAACAATG